GAGGCTCAGGGGGAGAGCACAGCGGACAGCCAGGCAGCGATCCCCACCGGGCACTGGCGCCATCATGCCTCCCACCCCCACCCCGGTCGGCTCACCTCCCTCTGCCTAGAAGCCTGGCCACCCTCGTTCCCCCTACCACTCGGTTCTGTCGCCTCCTTGGCCCTTGTCGGGAGGTGCTGGGCGTGTCAAAGGAGCAGCCTGTCCGTGGGGATGGGAGCGTGACGATGGTCGAGTCCCCCTCCTCCACGGGGGTGGGGAGCAGGGCCCGACGGCTCTGGCTGGTGCTGGATCTTGAAAAAGTAATCCAAAGGCTGCTTTTGAAAGAGGGAAATGAGCAGTTAGTGTACCTGTGGCATGCTGCTCTTCTACTGGAAAAGGAAAAGCAGAAACCTGGCTGTTCAGCAGCAGATGTGTGGGGTGGGGTGGGTCTGTGATGCATCGAGGGGGTCAGGAAAGCACAGAGTGAAAACCAGTGGTGTTATTTCTGAGAGAGTCAAGGGGTGTGTGTGTGTGTGTGTGTGTGTGTGTGTGTAGAACAGGTCAGTAAAGGAGAATTGTAATGTATTTTTTCAAGACTGTTGGCAGGTTAATGTCTGACACTTTGAAAAGGCTTGGAAAACTTCAGTGACAGCTGCTTTATGTGCCATGTTGTCCTAAAGTTAGGACTGTTTACCTTTAATAAAATCAAAGAAAAGCACATTCAGATCCTAGATGGTGTGTCTACGAAGTGGCCTGAGGGAACTGGCTCACCTATGGATTGGAGAGGCCTTGTCCCAGTGATCATGAGAAATATAGAGCTCTGGTGGTAGGAACAAGGTCAGTTTTGCACACACCTATGTAAGAACATAAGAGATGCCAATGTTGGATCAGGCCAAAGGCCCATCCAGCCCAACACTCTGTATCACACAGTGGCCAGAAATACCAGGGGCCCTCAGGAGGTCCAGCAGTGGGGCCAGGACATTTGAAGCCCTCCCACTGATGACCCCCCCAAGCACCAAGATGACAGAGCATCACTTGCCCCAGAGCCCCTATCTATACCTTGTGGCTAATAGCCACTGGTGGACCTCTGCTCCATGTATGTATGTATATAGCAGGTAATTCATACAAATTTGTTGGCTTGGAGTGGGAAAATTCTTTTATGCTGGGATTTGACATCCTCATTTGTGAATGAATTAATTGGATGTGTTTCCCACTTAATGCACTGGTTTTCAAGCTGTGCTCCAAGGAGACTTGAAAGATTCCTTTGAAGATTATTATCCTTGTCTCTGAAATAGGGCTTGACTAGCACAACTGGTATTTTCCTGCAGTGCTCACTCACAGATTAGCCCAAGGGTTGTTATATAGCATGTGGTCAGCTGATGAAGGCAGTGAAACTCAGCTGGCCTATGTGAAATTGCATCATGCATTGTGGAATGCACTCCAAAATCTTGTGTAGCAGGAAAGGGCTCCGGAGAAGAACTATGAAGGTTTCAGTGTGGACATTTTCCCTGATGCTAACATGTTGGAAAGCTGCTGATTTAATGAATGGCTTGTTAGAGATGGGTGTAACTTTGTGTTTAGAGTCTCCTTTCCTCCTTTTGTTTCTTTCGTCACTTTAGATACGGGCACGGCTATGAAATTTTCTGTGTTGCTTGCAACGGTGCCAAAACAATAATTGCCTCTGCGTGTAAGGTAAGGAAAGGTAGCAATTGAAATGGCTTTGGCAAATGACTCTTTTGAGACATTCGTCTCTTTGCTTTAAGAAGGACCAGGGCTCTTTTTGTAGAAAAAGCCCAGCAGGAACTCATTAGCATAATAGGCCACACCCAAGAGCAGGTGCTCATTAGCATATTGGACCACAGCCCTGACAGCACAGCTCATTAGCACATTAGGCCGCACCCCCATGTTACCAGAAGTGTGGTCATCCAGCCACACCCACCTTTTGCTTGTTATTCTGTTGACCTTGTTTGTTGTCAAAACCCAGGGCCTTTTTTTGTATCAGGAACTCCTTTGCAAGTTAGTCCACACACCCCTAATGTAGCCAATCCTAATGAGTTTCTGCTGTTGGGTGTGGCCTATTATGCTAATGCGTTCCTGCTGGGCGTGGCCAACTTGGGAGCCAGCCGGAACTCCGTTCCTGTGCGTTCCTGCCCAAAAATAGCCCTGAGAAGGACTATATTGAGATCCATGAGTGTGTATAATATTAACATATGGAAATGTGTAAGTTCTGTCCATTGTGTAGGTGGCAGAAAAGAAAACATCACATCAGCTTTCCCCCCAAAGGACAGGACAAAAGCGATGATTTTCCTGCAAAGCAGCATCCTCTGTTAACAACATATGCAAAACACTGATCTTTTGGTGCAATGAGTTTAAAATTTTGGTTAAGTCGGCAGCTAAGTTTTAGGGGTGGATAAAGTTTGTTATGTGCCTGCAGTGGTCACAGCATTACTTCAGTGGGCAGCCACGTTGGTATGTAGCGAGACAGCTGGGTCCCAATCAGTGTTCCCTCTAGGCTGAGTTAGTGTGAGCTGGCTTATTTAGCCTCCGACTCACACATTTTTGCCTTAGTTCAGGGAGGATGGGGCTCCAGAGCAAACTAATTTATGCAGCAGGCCAATTGCTGGCTCACCGCTTTAATGCCAGTCGCTCACAAAGTAGGATTTTTCCTTACAAGACTCCTCAGCTTAAAGCGGGCATTGGTGCCATGGAAGCTTGCTGGGTGACCTTGGGCCAGTCACATGTTCTCGGCTGAACTTACTGCCCAGGGTCGTGATAAAGATAAAACGGAGAAGGGAATGGTGTGGCCCCTGCTTTGGGTGAAAGGCAGGGTGCAAGTGAAGTAAATGAACAGGATTTGAGTGTAATGTTCTCCCCCCCCCCAAGCAAATGCAGCACAGCTCTGTTGACACTTCGTCCAAAAGGGCGTTCTTTGCTGTTTGTGCCGAGGTGCTCAGAGCGGCACATGTGAGGGTCTCCTCATTTTACCATCCCAGCTGTCCCGTCAGGTAGGGTAGGCCGAGGAAGAGGCTGGCCCCAGGTCACCCAGTGAGGTTCGTGGTCAAGGGGACGGCACTTGAACCCAGGTCTCTCTGCTCCAAGCCCCGCTTTGTGATTGTTGTGGGTATCCCTGTGACGGTTTGAAGTTTGCTTCCATCCAGTCTGCCTGTGTGCTCGCTCCCTGTCCTAACAGGCTTCTAAAAAAGAACAGGCGGCCATCATTCTGTGGAGCACCCTGACCTGGCAGCAGCTGCAGCGCTTACCCTTCCACAATCTGACCGTGACCCAGGTGGCGTTTTCCCCCAATGGCAGCTTCTTGTTGGCGGTGTCGAGGGATAGGAAATGGTCTCTTTGGAAATGCAAAGATGATCCGGCTGAGCCAGGTGAGAGTCGGGAGCTGGGGCTGCTGGTTGCAAACCACTCACGGGGGGCTGGCCTCTTTCACGACGCATCAGCAACAGATTTGCCTTTTGTGCCGCTCGACATAAGCTGTGCTGTTGGTTTTGGGTTCTGAGCAGGCGAGATCTCTGCTTGCCACAGTGCTGGAAGCTTCATGTCAAATTGTCGCCAGGTTCGCTGCACGGCTCTCGAGGATGGTGAATGTGAGACCTGCACTTGCCTGGCGTAGGAGTGACCTATGCAAAAGGACACCTCCCCACAGTTCCAGTTTTGTTCCCCACTTTGCCAAAATGGGATATGCTCACCTGATCATTTGGAACAAAGATCCAGTCTATTTCAGTGTGTGTGTATATATCCATTTCAGTTGCTAGTTTTTCCTGTCATAGTCAGTGATAATTCACTGCATCACTGATGGCTCTGGGGGGAAAACTCAGAAATTCAATATTGTCCCTGACATGTATGTGAGAGAATTTTCCTGTTTGTGCTAAAAATATCTGCCTCTGTGGGGTGTGAGAGTTGCGTTGAACTCCATCTAGGCTAGTGATGGCGAACCTTTTAGAGACCGAGTGCCCAAGCTGCAACCCAAAACCCACTTATTTGTCGCAAAGTGCCAACACGGCGATCTAACCTGAATACTGAGGTTTTACTTTAGAAAAAACAACTCATACATTGACTTAAGATGATCCAAACAAAGGACAGCATTCCCAAATGCTTTCATTTACTTAAAATTATTGGCAGAGGATTCGACACTTTAATGATGGTCTGGGCCTGGCTGGGGCGATGGCACGCGTGCCCACAGAGAGGGCTCTAAGTGCCACCTCTGGCACCCGTGCCATAGGTTCGCCACCACTGATCTAGAACATTTTCATAGTGTTTTCATTAGGATTATTAAGATAATAATTACAGCAACTCTGTAAAAGAAGGCCAGTGTTTCAGTTCCATAGTGCAAGTGGTTTGTGTAGGTGCAGATGTTAAGAATGGGAGAGACTCACTTTCCTTAGTGAGTTCATGGCAGTTATGAGAATCGAACCAGGA